TATATTCGAAACCATTTAATCGTTGGTTCAATGATAGAAAATTCAAGATTTGGAATGTACAATTTTTAATTAATGATCCAATGATTTAACTGTAATTAGAAGTTATATATATAAGAAATATAAGAAAATTGTTATTAGAAAGCATTTTTAATGACGGATTTAATTTTAAATTGTTTAAGTTATTAATATATAATTAAAGTATTAGTAATCTTCAATTAAATTATTAATTATAGATTAGTGTTTTAAACAAATTTGAGTTTGATTTGCTGTGTATTTGTTTGCAGGTGGAAAAAGTATGCAAATGCCTCTTCTGTAAAGTACTCTAACAAATATAAGGATGACAAGTTAGGTAAATTATTTAACTTAAATTATATATTCGGTTTATTGTTATAACTTTTTATCAAGAAATTAAGAACTCACTTTATTAATTATCATTTAGTCATGTTTACAAAAATCAACAGTACAGATCTATTCTTTCTCTATCAACTAAGAAACACGATTTTTTTTTTCACCAAGAAAAATTATAGGAGTACCTGCATTTTTTTCAGAACAAAATAATATTCACTGCTTATAATGTCATTATTATTAACAAGAAATATCGCCGTTTTTGAAATGCATTTTATATTTAGTTTGCAAATGACATACAAAATGTCTACGGCTCAATCAGAGGTGCTATAAGTCTCGAAACTCACTTTTTGACCGAATCACTTTTCAAATTGTTGGTACCAAATGTTTTTCCTATGACATATTTTTAACGAAATTAAATGATGATGAAGCTCTGTGTATGTTCTAGGCTCTGTCTATATATACGTATTCCCTCTATGGAAAGATGACCGCACCCAGATCCACAGAATTTTTAATAAACGTAGTCCTCCAGCCGGAAAGGGGCATCTGAAAGCCTGAATTTTGAATTTCAAATTTGCTTTTGATTTATTCCATATGTTGCATAAATTAAACGAATTTTAATTCAGCAAATTCAGCGGTACGAAAGTGAGAAGTGGCAATACTTTTCGAAATAAAACATTTTTACCATCATTATTTGTTTCATATTTCGTAAAGTATTTATGAATTTTTGATTAAGAAACTCAACGATTTCAAAATGAGATACAGCAAAACTGTACGGGGAAAAAAAATTATCTCCAGAGCGCGAGGCTGTGTATCGGAAATTCTAAAGATATGCTCTTTCAAATATTTTGTGATACTGCTGTTGAATGGAATTTTACGGTTTAAGTGCGAAGGACATGATGTTTGATAAATGAAAGTAGCACACAAAACATTGAAAAAACACCCCTTTGAGCGTAACATAAAATCTGAAAAGTTTACATTTTGTAGGGGGAAAAAAAAAAAAAAAAAAAAAAAAAAAAAAAAAATCTGAAAAGGTTTCAGATTTTTTTTCCTGCAAAATGTACCTTTTACTTCTTATTTCAAACGATGCTGTGAGGATTGTTTTTGTTTTTTCTTATTATTACAGCAGCCAACAATAAGAATTTATTATTTAAAAGAACCAGGAGCTCTTTGTTAATGGACTACGCAAAGTGGAAACCCTACTCAAAGCTATTCGCAAACCATCACCAAACGGCCCTAACAGTCATTTATAGTCTGACCTCAACGGGAAGTGTTCTGAATATGGCTGCCGTTTTAGTGCAGTCCATTGGCAGAAGAGCTGTTATTGCAACTTAAATAAAGGAGACATATTAATAAGGAAGTACCTTAATTTTCGACTCAGAGCTAATTCTTAAAACTTGCATTAATATATTGGTACTTTTCGGTTGTCTATCTGCCTTCCTTTTCGGCGCCTGTGAAAGTAAAATCAAACACACGCCGAGGCCCAGTGATAGTATACCATCTAGGGGCCAAGCCATTTGCCTATATATGTGCGTTTAATTTAACGTATTCCATCGTGTGTTTACATCTAATAAACTCTCAAAATACATGGCAAGTGCATAATGGAAAAGTATCAATATTTTAAAATTGATTTCAGATAAAAGAAAACTTAATTTTTACTACTTTTGCATATTCTTCAATGAAGACATTTTCTTCTAGAATTGCCAGCAGGAATATTACAGTTTCCTTTTTCCAATAAGGATTGGCCGAGGTAAGCTATTCATAGAACTCACATATTTCTCTAAACCTAAACTGAGTTGAAATATGCTCGTTTATATTCCTAAGATTTATTTTGTGATGTTTTAAGATGTCTGAAATGATTTGCGTTTATTCAAATATTTATTTCAGCTATCTGAATTTCGGAGCTATCGGATCTATGATTGGCCGAGAAATTACACATGGATTACTTAGTGCAGGTGAAGTATTTTTTATGTAAAAGGTAAGAGGGTGTAAAGTAATAATGCGTGTTCACAAATTGCTTTAACATTCCGAGTGTTACGAGTTTGTCCCTAAAGTTTCCTTTTCTTGATCATAATTCCAAAATGACCCTTCCACTTTATTACATAGACTTTTTTCTTTGAAAATACATTCAGCTCGAAATCGGATTTATCAAGATCAAGCAGAAATTTTACGGCCTTAACAGGGTTAAAAAATAAAAAAATAATCAATCAGCGTTTCAATATAACGGAATTGGCGTATAAGTGCAAAAAATTATATTACTCCTATATGAAAATTTGCTTACTTCTATCAGATACATTATCATAAATGCTGAAAATCAGTCATCGTCATTGCGCTTTATTTAAAGATGAACTAAAATTTGTACAAAGCATATAGCTCTTTTGAAGAAGATATTTATATTTAATGCCATTGTATCCATGTTACGTTTCACATGATATAAATCTATTTAGTATTAATAATAATTGGCTAAAATTAAAAATAATCGCATTTTTCTTGGTCAATGAGACTGATGATGCATAATAATTGATTACATTTACCTGTAAATAATAGTCATTACTAATGAAGTACTCTCGAATTCAATAAAAATAAGTTTAATAACATTTATTGTTTTCATTTATAAGGTACATTCATTAGGCGTTATATAAACGTGTTCTTACACATATATCTTGTTAAATTATCAAAAATAAATTATTGATTTTTGAAACTTCAGTGGTATTTAAAATTACACAAGGGTTTATAATGCTCTATATCGCGCTTGACAAGGGTTACAGAGATTTGAATATATGATGACAAGTCCTAATGCGATATTTTGATGGTTTACCTGAAGTTTTTTCATTGTTTTGCTCCAACTTATCCAACTTATTCTTAGAATAACTGCATCTTGATTGCGGTTAGTAGTTCGTCGGATATATTCTTTTTGTTATCTTTAACTTTCGCTATAAACGAATAATATCCTTTTCATACAAATAATTGATGATTTTTCCCCTTTCTTTGATGTTAGCATTTTAACGTGATCATTAAATAGCGTCTTTGTTACCTGTAAATAACACTTTATGCTTATGACTAACGTAAAACTAGTAAAAAAGTAAAAACAGCTGTGTTCATGTTAGCAACTAATAACGAAAGTAACATGAAATTGAAAGTACAGGACATGTAGAGTATACAGTGCTGATACAGAGCTATTAACTGCTATACGTATGTGCAATGGCGAGTGTCAAATTAAACACATTTACAATTATTTGGCGGTAATGAACGTTTTTCACTAAAAAACTTTCTTAATAAAGTTAGGGGAAAAAAAGCACGTGAAAGTAGTACCATTAGTTCGGGTAGCAATCACCATCCAAATCTGTGATTTTTCTGCCAACGTTTTGGTAGTTTTTCAAAGCCTTCGGCCTAGAAACTTGATGGCCGCCAGTCCAAAAACAGATCAACCTCATTTCGGACGTCCTCTTCAGAATGGAAAATAGCACCAACAAGATATAGCTGCAGGTGTGAAAAAAGGTAGATGTCCGAAGGAACGATGTCGGGGTTATATGTGGGTGCGGCAAAAGATCCCATTCGAGTTTATATAGAGTCGAGCCGGTTAATGCATTAGCTTAACGTGGTCATGCATTATCTTAACGGAACATTATTTTCTTGCACCGAAACTCAGTTCGATGTTTTTCCTTGAGAGCAGCGTCAACACGGTTTAGCATTTCTCCAGATACACTTTGTGGATAATACTACGGCAATCTCACCAGATACAAAGCATGATCTTTTTAATTTTAGTCAAATTACGCTTTGCGACGGTGCCGACGGACTCCCCGATCGCAGATCAATCCCCTTTTCGGCCTGCGTTGTTGAAGTAAATCCACTTTTCATCACAAGTGGTGATCCGGTCCAAAATGTTTCCTTGCGTTGATATTCGAGCCGATTAGTGCAGGCCAAAAAATGTCTGCTTGAGTCAGCTTATTGCTCCAAGGAATGAAATTTGAATTTAACAAACATTCTCTATTCGTAAAAAGCAAATTTAAAGTTAAAACATTTTAATGAAATTTAATGCAAACAAATAAATGATTAATTATTGTTGCGAACTAATCTACAATATCATTTAAATTCTAAGAGCACATGTAAATCAAGTACAAGTATCAAAAATCCATGAATGAATATAAAATTCCAAAAATTATTTTAATCCTAAAAAATTTATTTATAAAAATGCATAAGTGAATGATTGTTGAGTAGGCAGGAGACAGACTTATCAAGGGGAAGTTGCCTCCAAACCTAACTCTTCAATAATTCAATTTGCGTTTCGTCAACCATGTAGGCAAGGGTAAAAGTTGAAAATCGAAAGTAAAACCAAATGTTGTGAATTACTAAAAAGAAATTTCAACAAGTGAAATTTTGAGAAATTAGCAAGTGAATGACTAGAATTAAAATTTAAAAAAGGTCAATTAAAAGTAGAAAACATATAATTATAATAATTATAATCATTATATATATATTATATACCAACACTTAACACTGCATCGAGAATTCTTGCTATGTTGCTTTTAAAATTTTGTAATTTTTCTGTTGAATTGTATGTGGCGTAAGTGTGAAGAAAATGATACTTAATAACAAAGCTTAAAAGAAATGGGTTAGCAGGTGTAAGTGCAACAGCTGAAGGATGGCCTGCGAGTTCAGCGAAATCTTAAAAGCACTTTACAAATCCTTTTGGAGCATCGTTAAAATCTGAACTCTTTCAGACTTTTTCTTTCCTTTTTTATTATTTATTTTATATTTTTTAAAAGTTTAATAAACGAGAAAAGACTGAAAAAAATAGAATTTTTTTTTTCAATTACAACACTTAACTCTGCATCGGAAATTCTAAACATATGCTTCTATGCTGCTTTTAAAAATGTTGTAATTTTGCTGTTGAATATATGTAGCGTAAGTACAAAGAATACGATGCTTAATAATAAAGTTAAAAAATGGGTTAGCAGTGAGTGAGTGCAAGAGCTAACTGGTAGACTGAGAGCGTATAAAACCTTAATAAACCTTTTGGGTGACGGTTAATTTATTTTTCTTATTTTTTCAATTAATTCATAAATGGTATTTATTTTTAAACAGTGTTCAAAACACATTTAATGAGAAATTAGAATTATTATCTAGGCTTGAAAAAGCATGTTTTGCAAAATTTAAAAGACTTCTTTTTCCTGTCTCTCTAACACATTGCTGATACTAATTACAAAACCACACCTGAGTGGTATGATGAATTCGGTGAAAGACACAGCTTCTGGAGCCAAGAAGCAGACGTGATTTTCGAGAGAAAAGCCAAGTGTATCGCAGAACAATATGGTAATTACACTAGTCAGCCATCTAAACCTGATTATGAACAAAAGGTAAGATAATCTCAAGTTTCTCCTTATTTCCTTTGTAAACATATACACTTTTTACCAATTCGGATGGAAGAGTGTATTTCTTCATATAGTATTTACAATATATAAGTATTTTTTTGAAAGTTTATTTGTATGAATGATTGATAACAATAACAATTATAACTATAAAACAGTAATAATTAAATAACTATATACAAATATACAGACATTACAAATTAGTTATTTTATTAAATGCATTTCTAATTTTTTAAACAAATAGTATAACCTATATAAAAGAATAAATTTATTTGTTAAAGCTATTACCACGAATAAAGTTACTTCAATAATAAGGTTCTCGAATATTTTAGCAGGTTGAACAAAAAAACAATGGAACGGTTACCTTAACAACTTTGGCTCAATGAAACCAAAGGAACGGACCTACAGCTAGGGGCTAAAGAACTAAAGAATAGCCCATTGCCTTCAATAAATTTCTTATGCAGTTTAGTTTTTTGTATCTGGCGTGACGAAAACCAAAATAATAAAGGCAAAGTTAACAAGGAATTATAAAAAATCATAAAGAAAATCAAGAGCTTTACACTGAAAAGAAATGTATACGATTATAAGTTAACGAGATTAAGATTGCTTTCCAAAGTGGCTAAGTGTAATAGAGTTAAGAAACCTAAATGTTATACACTTTGCAAAAGTGAGGGAAAATCTGAAAATGGACAATTCATTTCTTATGAAAACATTTACCTGTATATTTTCCTTCATTCTATTAAATTTTTGAAGAAAATTTACATAATAAGAGAACGCTTTTATTTAGTAACGAGCAGACACGTAATCATTAAATCTGATTTATCATAAGAAGTAAATTAGATATTTTAGGGCGGATATATCTGTATAGTTATTTAAAGGGATATTTATCCGTAATTAAAGCATATGCCCATTCAATCAAGGGGGGGGGATGGGAAAAACTTAAATTAGGCTTCCCAAGCAACCAACCTGCTTACTGGGATTTGAATTATCACTGAACTCGACCATTTTATAATAAGAGAAAAGACTTTTTATTCTAAAGTGCTTTAGCAGGTTGTAAAATAGCAATGGAACGATCAGTCTCATATAACTTTTGAAGTAAGAATAATTCCTTATTCTAGAATCCAGATCAATTACAAATGTTGATCGATTTTATCCAGGTGAAGTTGGATTTATTAGTTAAGGGAAAGCAGATGAGGGTTATATTACTGAGTGAAGAATTCCTTCACGAAGGTAAGAGAACCTGGTTATTTATTTTACACAACGATAATCGAAAAAAAAAAAAACAGTCTTCCTCGTTCTCCAGCTCTTATTAATTAATATGTATCAAGCTCATTTGCCAGCATCTGAATTCAGTTCAAATTTCCAGTGATCATCTATCTTATCCAGACAGCCACTGGTGGGTCATCAGAGAGAAAATCTATTAGAATAGTTTAATATCCTTTTTTTTTTTTTTTTTCCATAATGAAACTCGGAAGCGTCGATACAGGTGCGCCAAGATATACAGGGGTTGGACAAAAATATGGAAACACCTTTAAAAAAACGTGTTTCTTTGCTTAATATGGTGTAGGGAAACCCGTTGGCATTCAAAACAGCTTGCAGTCTTCTCGGAATGGATAAATACAGTTCCTGTATGTTTGCCAAGGGAATATTATACCATTCTTCCTGCAAAACGGTGGCAAGTTCAGATAACGATGTTGGCGGTGGATAACGAGAACGCACTTTCCGTTCCAATGTAGACCACAAAGGTTCGATAATATTCAGGTCTGGTGACTTAGGTGGCCAGGGGAGATGGGACAACTCATCCTCGTGCTCAGAAAACCAGTCCTGGACAATGTGAGCTGTGTGAACAGGGGCTTTGTCGTCTTGGAAGACACCATCACCATCAGGGAACAAAGTTTGTACCATGGGATGAACTTGATCGGCCAAAATGTTCACATAAGTCTTGGCAGTCATGTGCCCTGACACAGTTATCATGGGGCTAGCAGAGAACCACGATATGGCTGCCCAAACCATAACAGAACCCCCGCCATATTTCACTCTTGGCAACAAGCAGTCTGTATTATAGGCTTGAGATGGCGTTCTTCAGACGTAAACTCGGCCAGAAGTGGGAAACAATGGGAAAGAAGACTCGTCAGACCATATTACTCGCTTCCACTGCTCTGTAGTCCAGGCTTTATGACTTAAACACCACCTTTCCTGTTACGGGCATTAGCATCGCTGATGAGTGGCTTCTCAATTGCAGCACGGCCAGCAATTCCCTGTTTATGAAGCTCCCTTCTAATTGTTTTGGTACTCACAGGGTTTAATAACACAACATTCATTTCAGCAGTAACTTTTGCAGCTGTGGTCTTCTTATTTTTCGTCACAATTGCCCTTAATGATCGTCTGTCACGATCACTCAGGACACACTTTCGTCCGCGCTGTGATTTAGCAGATGATGTTTTTCCGCTTTTCAAATATGCGGAATAAATCTTTGATACAGTACCTCTTGAAACACTAAACACCTCGGCTACCTTGCTTACGGAAGCACCTACCATACGTGCTCCAACACTTTGCCCACGTTCGAAGTCTCTTAACTCTGACATAATGCAATGACAACCTCACATAACTGTACTCCGACAACAACTGAACTGTTTACCCACATTTACGAAGTTGTATAGGTGGCGTCAGTAGTCAAAAATGCCAGCGCCACCTACATATTTCATTAAAATCAATCTTTCTTTTCAAACGTGCATTTCACAAGGTGTTCCATGAGGACTAAGTTAGTCTATGTAAATTTTTTTTCAACAGTCCAGTTTTAAATGCCTCTAAAGTTTGTGATTTACTTTTCGTTCTGCTTTAGTCAAGTAAAAATGCTTGCCACCAAGACAGTACAGTGGTTAGGGGAGCCTACTGTGATACCGAAGGACCCGGGTTCGAATCCGGAGAAGGCATGGATGTTTGTAAATGTATAGTGTCTGTGCGGCATGGGAGGTATTCTAAATGTGCGACGACCTCAACGTCCTGTCGAGAGGCTAACGTTAGGGGAAGAGGGGTGGGAGACCCTTCGACTCATTTTTCTCATTTTTCTTCGACTCATCTCCTTCAAAATTGGGGGCGCAACTGAGCAAAATCGTACTGTCACCTGTATGGTGCTCAAGGCTTTGGCAACGATAGGCACACCATTGCTCCCTTTACCATGATGAATTTCGTGGGCTTGTTTTGATGTTACTGGCAGACAACAGCAACAAAACCTCTTACTTATTAAATCAAGGATTTAATAGATTTCTGACGTATGTTTCTTTTATAAGTATGCTAGACTAAGAATTGCGTACTCAAAACGTCTTAGCTATGTGTTCAAACGTTTAATGCACACACATCAAAATCATATTTTCAGGGGTTTTCTTAGAAGCCGTTATGGTTACGACTCTTCTCAACAGAAAGCACGCTTGAATATATACTGAAAATATTATCTTTTCCATAGGCAAACGAACATGGCATAAAATTACGAAATATGGCTGATAATGGAGGTCTCGAAGTAGCTTATCTGGTAAGAAAAATGTCTGATTTTATGAAACAAAGATAGACAGAATGCTGATCAGTTACAAAAATGTAAAACTTAACTTTAAAAGAATTAAAACTTAAAATGTAAAATTTATACATAGCTAATTGAAGTGAAATGAAAAGAGTACCTGTCCTGTTTCTTCATTCTTCTGTTTGTACAATAACAAATCTATGATTAAGTTACTCTAACACCAAATTGAATTTATTTTTTGGCATAATAATTGAAATGGGATCTAAATTCTTAACGAATATGATTTTTATGGGGAAAAGAAACTGAAATGCTTCTATAAATGGCAAATTTACCCCTTTATTTTCTTCTATATTTTTATACGTTATTTATCTTTAAGCTTAAATTAATCGGATAGGGATATTTGGATACTCATCAGCTCTTAAATCTGAATACACTTCCACTTCTGTGTTACCTACCCAGTTTCTGCACTATCTTTCGTTAGTTCTATTTTTTTGTCTTTATTTATTTATTATTCTTTCAATCCAACAGGCCTATCAAACGTGGATAATGGGTAATAAAAAAGAGAAAAGGTTGCCAGGATTGAAGTACACACCGAATCAGTTATTCTGGATAAATGCGGGAAACGTAAGTCTTACTTGTTTTGCGGTAAAAGCTAAATACTGTTGAAAAATGTAATTAATTCAGTAAAAGGTTTCTTGAAAGTGTTCCTTCACGCGCATAATAGTACAAAAACGATAATTTTGATCTTAAAATGAAGTATGGTGCAAAGCTTTGTAAAGTTATTGGGTATTTTGATGCTGGAGACGTGAAAAATGTGCAGCATCGTCACCTGAATTCGAACTCTGGAAAAGTGGCATAGCAAGGGGGCAAGGGGCTGTATGATGCCCCAGGCGCCACTCGCAGAGGGACGCCAAATGGTCTACAAACAAGATTTTCATCATATCACTGTGTTTTTTTTACGGGGGGGGGGGTGGCGCGCCAAAAAGGTATTTTGCCCTGGGCGCCAGTTATGCTCGCTACTCCACTGCTCTGAACCTCCCGAATACGCGTCCAGTATGCTTTCAGTGACACCACGAAGGAATGCGGAAAAAGAAGGGAGAAAATACCTTATATACCTCCTCCTTTTAAATTATTATTATTATTTGGAATTATGGAACCCAATCGCGAAATCTCGGTGGTGACGAATTATTGTCTACCACTTTTAGTTCGGGGGCCACTTGTAGTGTCACTGGATTTTTTGATGTTGGAGACATGAAAAATGTGCAATGTCATCGCCAGAGGAATCAAACTCTAGACCTCCCGAATACGCATCGAGTATGCTTTTAATTACACCCTAAGGCATGTGGAAAGGAGGAAAAGAATACTCTACGGCTTATAATATTGATAGGTACTTAACGGTTTGTAATCGATTGAATGCATAGAAAACCGATGAAAGCTTGACCGCTTTACAGTTCTGAAACGTTTCTCAAAAGTATTTGTGCAGTTGTTCTCGGTATGACTGAGTACAATCAGTAGTTACCACTAAGAACGTTAAAGATAGCGCAATGCAAAGCCCATCTAAAGAGCGAAGTTCGCACGGAAATCTCTCAATACCCCGAACTCAACTGAAAATTGAGAGCGGTGCAAAATGCATCTTAAAGCGAAGCTTGCACAGTGATCTTTCAGTACTCTGAACTCAGTAACATGAAATCTCTATACTCTGAGTTCAACTGAAAACTATCGTATCGTATCGCATTGATATCGGTAACGTTATGCCGCGATACTGCGAATTTCGTAATGTATCCGGCTCAATAAAAATGTTGGCCTAAAGGCACTTCATGTAAAAATACATCAAGTGAGATTACCAGAAGAGAAAATTTAGCAAATATGGAAGAGAGGAGAACATTTTCTCCTAGGTTTGAATGATCAAACTGGAGTCTTAATAGATTGGAATATGATATTAAAGTCATAGCATAGATAAAAATAGAGACAAAAAATACAAACAAAAAATTCAGATAGAGATAGAAAATAATAGGAATGCATGTGTAGAGTTTATGTTGGTAAATTTAAATCTCTTAGGAAACGTGCAGCATAAGGACGTACTTTTTTGCCCTCTTGAAGAATTTCGTATTGAAACAATTTAAAATTCATGAGATGGTTACAAGTAATAGCTTTTTTATAGAAATTTCAATCCATATTGTTGAGAAACTTATCAATAGTTTCAATACTGAGGTCCTCGTGCAGTCTTTGGTTGCGCACGTGGAAATGTGAGTCTGTAATGATACGCAGATATTGATATTTAGTTTGCACTTTTGCTGCTTTGGAGAAAGGTAGTTGATGACTTTTCTTGCTTTATTCTTAACATTTTCGATGTGATCCTTTCAATTAAGTTTGTTGTTGAAAGTGATGCCAAGATTTTTGGCTTTGTGAACTTTCGGAATAATTTCATCAAAAAGAGTCACGTTTTTCTTAGGTAAAATATTCATTTCCTTTTTACGAATAACTAACAACTGAGATTTATGGATATTGATGGATATTCTCCATTTTGTGCCTCATTCTTTAGTTATTGACATTTAATCTGGGAGCTTTCGGATCGCATGGTTTGCATTTGCTGATTTGACAGCCAAAGCGCTGTCATCAGCATAACAGCACATAAAATATTTTATATAATTTTACTGGTTTGGGAAAGTCCATCACGTAAAAGAGGTACAGGATAGGACCTAGGATAAAGCCCTGTGGAACTCCAGCTCTGATTTCTCATAAATAGGATTGCGCTTTGCCAACAATAGCTGTAAATGCCCTATCTGTAAAGAAGAACATTATCAGAAGTATGATTTCTCTATGGAAATTCAAGTTTTAGCCCCTCGTTATCCTTTCTTCGGCCTTGTATAGTTCCCCCTATCCACTCGCGAGTTTTGACGACTTTCAAAGATTCTTCTCAAAACTGGCATTCAAAATTAGTTGTCAAAACCATCGTCAGTTATTTGTCTCAATGTTAAATGGACTTATCCTGTAATCCTATTTTTCCAGCAATGCTTAACTTCTGAAGTTTTTCATATTACATTATACAAAAGATACTGCTATTTACATGTATACAAATTTCGTAATAATGCTTCTTTCCCAAAGACTGCACATCCCAGGCCAGTAGATTCCCTAAACAGATAAGCGTTATTTTATTTGAAGAAAACTAGTAACTGAATACTAAATGAAATACAAAAATAATAATTTCAATAAATAACGTACAACTATAAAATACTGAATCTATAAATAAATGCATGAATTTACGATTTTATATACACAAAGGACTATGGTCTTAGCATACTATTTACATTATATATACCCCGTGGTGTCTACACACTATGACCATAGTAAAACTCTAGTTTCAAGAGTTTCAGTTACGCACTTCGCTGCTAAGTTTCTTTTTAATAATACTGATATATTTTTCAAAATTCTGTTCTTATACTGCCCACCAGTGGCCGAGCGGTAAAGTCGCTGAACGCTGGTAGTTCGGTCCGAGGTTCGAATCCCGCGAACGGGCTGGCTGCATGGGTGTTTTCGTGGTTTTCCCCATGCGTAACGTGTATACGAGCCTGTTACCCTTAGAAAGTCCTCCACGAAGGCTTCTTCCTCTTAGGCAGATAGCCCTCGAGGCTTAGCCGTAATTAAATAACCTAACCTAACCTATTCTTAAACTTATTTTCATAAAATAAGATTTTAAATTTTAATTTGCTTTGAAAGAATTTAATTTTGAACCAAAATTTAATTTTTCTTCTTTTTTCAGTACTTATATGAAGGATTCAAGAGAACTTTAGAATTCGGATCCAGATTCGTATTCAAGAAAATTTAGATTCGTTCTTTGTTTAAATATTGTGCTAATTATTTAAGTTTAATTGCTATATTTCTAACTAAGTTTAAAAATATTATCAAGACTTTTGACAGCAGGAAACACGAAAAATCAGCTGTACCGTTTCATATATTCAAACCATGGGATCTTCCAGGCACTAAATAGATCCACAAGGGCGATCCACTTGTGCGGCCCACGCCCCACAAGGGGACAATGCGACTGTTAAGGGGGCAATTAGAAAATGGACTCGTTCAGAGTTTAAGGGGACAAAGGACGTTCTAAATATGTTTCATGAAGTCAAAATTTTTCGAAATTTCATTTTTTATTCGCCAAAATAAAGAAAAATGTAAGTGATGTATACATATAAAAGTTTTTAAATTGCGGTGCATTTTAAATATTTTATAAAGAATTATCGCTGTAGACATGGACATTTAAATGCTTTTAAAGGCAGTTAAATAACTGACACATTATGCTTTCCAGTCGTTTCTCGCACATTTCAGCCAACGAATTAATTTTATAATTTACTGTAGGAATGACAACCGGTATATTATTCTTTCCTTGAATGGCAACAGCAGCTGCTTTCAGCTTTGTTTATATTGATCTTATATTTATTTCTTTCAGCCCTTAGTGAAATGAGGGGTGCAAGCAAGAAAAACCGTTCGTCGGTATTCGGAGGCATATTTAAAATTTGGTTTCATACCCGTCCATAAACTGTCAACTTTTGTCTTTTTATGCCAATAATGCCTGACCAACAAATCAATGAAACTATGCCTTGAGGCACATTAAGGCGAAACATAATGCTGATATAACTCAGATTTGAATTATTTTCACCCTTTAAGGAAAACTTTTGAAAATAGAGTAATATTAAAGTGTCTATTTACTGCTCATAATGCAACTGTTAATCGTGCTCTTGAGGCTATTTATCAAATTTCGTTACTCATCACTTAATCTGGGAAGAGCCGTACTATAGGGGAGAAATTAATCAAACCATCAATATCAGCATTTAAACTTTTCTAGGAAAAGATGACGAAGACGTTAAAGCTATGCCACTAAATAACAATACTGTTTGCAGAAAGATTAAATGAGTGAGGATATTGAAATACAACTTGTTGAAAAGCTGAAAATAAGAAAATTTTCGGTGCAAATGGATGAACCAACTTTGAGAGACAGTGAGGCCGTACTTGTAACTTATGTAAGATATATTCATAAAGGGGATTTTGCCGAAGAAATGTTCTGTAAATCATTAGAAATCACCACTACCTCCAAAGATATTTATAGTAAGCTAAAAAATTACTTAGATATAAAAAGTATACCAATAAAAAATAGAATACATCTTGTACTGCAGATGGTGCTCCTAATATCATGGCTGAAAAATAAAATAAAGCACGGAATAAGAGAAAGGGTTGCTTAAAATTGATAAAAGATGAGAATCCAGAAATGCTTCTTGTGCATTGTGTTATTCACAGAGAAAAGCTGGTAGCTAAAAACAATTCGCCTGTTCTAAATGAAGTACTAAATTCAGTTATAAAGTGTATCAATGCTATTAAAGCTAGGGACAAATGTGAACGTCTTTTCAAGTTATTTTATGAAGAAAAAAATGAAGACTATATGAGACTTGTACTTCAATTGAAGTAAGAAGGCTGTCGAAAGGGAACTCTTGGAAAAGATTTTTGAAGTATTTGATACTCTTAGTTATTTTTTAAGCGAAAACCTGAAATGAAAATCCGTTAACGGATGATAACAAGGCAATTGTGAGTTATTTAGCCAATATCGTTGAAAAATTAAATATATTAAATAAACA